AAAAAAAAAAACAACTGAGGTGTGCATGACAACACTGCTAATGTGAATTTACATCGTATATCATACAAGATCGCGAAACCGAAAATTAAATGTTAATGCGCGTTGTCTCTAAATATAAATAAAAAATTTCATGTTAATACTTAACACGCGTTATTATTATTCTCGCCCGAAAAGAACCGATCGAGTTGGTTGGTATCCCAATAGATCCAAAGTTATCCGAGAGCGCGTGTTTTTTTATTCACCAATATTTAAACTCAAGAATTAAGTACGTTGTACAACAACCATGCGAATGATGTTGTTCTCATGATTAACGTGACAAACGAAGGGTGCTCGGTGCGAGCAAAATAATATAACGTAATGGCAAATCGTTGTAACATAATGCGCGATGCATGAAAAATAACCCATGCAATAACCCTCGATACATTATACGAGATGAGGGGAGAAAAGGATGAAAATACGTGTATATACAGAGCAGCAGAAGGGGATTGGGGTGATTGTAGCGTTCTTGTATAAAAGCAAGCAACAAACGAACAGGCATGAGGTGTTTGGGTTATTGGGTATTTGTGTAAATATGTAGAAAGACGGGTACCATGGTCATTCGAGGACTGTAGCTGCTGCCGTCGGAGACCGTGTCCTCCCCGGGGCAATGTCCGTCATCATCGGCTGGTGGCTGCAGTGGAGGCTCCCCGAGGCTGATCCTGCTTGTCGTTCTCCCCTCGGGTTCGCCGGCAACTCCACCGTTCACGACACTATTGACACGGCATCGTCCTCCAGCACCACCCTTTTACTATATACTATACATTGCTACTCGCACGCGGGCACTCGTTATTTTTGTTTTTCTTTCTTTTTTATCGAGCACCCTCCTTCGAATCAGCACGAGCTCTAAAAGTGCAGCGAACTCGCAAGTCAGGCTATACAGGCGAGGAAAGCCGGTGGGGATTTGGAAGGGCGGACGCGCTCACCCCAACCAAACGCCGAGGGAGTCGCGCGCGAGCGCAGTAACGCTGTGAATATTGTGTGTGTGTGTGTGCGCGTGTTATCGGGGGAGCACACGACACGCGTAGTATACATCACCAACACCTACAGGACTATACTTATTGTTACCACCTCTCGATATCTTACTGTACGATAATCCCTTCTTCGATTCCGATTATTATTATTATTATTATTATTATTATTATTATTGTTGTTGTTGTTACTTTCCTGCGTATCCTAATTATAATCCTAACGGCATGGGGCCAAAAACATCTTGCAAGAAAGTACAAATAACTTACTCCACATCTATACATTGGATCCACAAATCGAGCTCTATATACTTTGGGGGAGGAGGGGGGGGGGTGACGACGACAGACTAGGGGTCTTCAACCCCTATTTTCCCGCATCCATACACTTGTATAGTTTATCTCGGTTTCTTTCGTTCGGTAATATTTTCGCTTTGAAAAAAGGGGATTGGGGTGGTCGTGACCGTATAGTGTCCAATAACACGCTGCGCGAACCAAGGTACACATCGCCACGCGGTTGATCAAAGAGCAGCTCTCCGTTATAAATAATAGCCGCGCCATTAGCCCTCGAGATACCTTTCACCCGCGTCAAGTAGGTACTTACATAATATGTACTTGGAGCCATTGTAAGCGCATAATCTCCCGCCGACGTGTTTATCTTTTCCGCTTTTCTTTTTTTCTCTCCGCAAATTCGAGTCCCCAAGCGCTGCACATGAGTATCTGCACCGGTACAGGTATATGTTGGGCACCGAGTGTTTTCTCTCGCTGATGCATGAAAGCCCCCCCCCCCCCCCAAAGTACTTGTGGGAACAAATTATTCAGCAGAGAATGAATAGCAGTGCTCCAGAGTCACGCGTACTGAACCAATAAGAGGAGAGGAGCCAGGGAGCAGCTAGGTGCAAGTAGTCAACAATGACACATTAATTAGGTATAACAATTAGGTCTGCAACCGTGTCGAAGGGCTCGTCCTCGAATTGATACTGCACGCGCTCGTACACCGTGTTTGGTTGTAGAACCAGCTACGGGAAAAGTGTTTTTTTTTTCTTTTTTTTCCTCACACTCAGGGTTGTTTGAACGGGGAAAAAACGAGCATGCCGAAAACACAAAAACGGTGTCCGTGGCATCGTGAGAGCCCGCGTAATTTGTTTAAAGTAGTACATCAACGTGCATGCACCAATGAATAATTGTAAATACTTGTGTTGTATTGTATAAATAACATAAGGTAACATCAAATAGTTAAAAGAAAAATATAATACATGTACGTGTATATATTTATATTTATATATATATATATGTACACGTGTAGACGAATGTAAGGTATAATAATTGGGTGATAAATGAGACAAACCTTGTTGATGACAAAGTGAAGGGGCTGACCCTTGTGCCTGACGCTGAGTACGTAGCTATTTCCCGGCTGGCTCGTACAGTCTCGTACGAGAAAGTCGCCGTCACAGGGTATCTNACATATGATTAACTTAACATAATTAAATTAACATAAATATTAATTTTCCAATAGTATTTTGAAATAATATTGGAGAGGCTCTTCCATTACACGAATTAAAATTAAAAATAAATGCTATAGTAGTGTTAATAAGAACTTGAAGTATATCGGATGGTTTCTGTAAAGGCACAAGATTAAAAATAACAAAATTATTTAAGTATAATATACTATTTTATTATTTCTAATTTCTCTGTTTGTGTTTCGTAAAGTTTGCCGTATTGATATATGTAGAAAGTGAGAGAGAGAGAAACGCGAGAAAAAGACGATTATTGTACGAACGCTCCGAGCAGTCTTAGAGTCATTGATTGACAGATCTATATTTACAGTATTGGCCGTAGTAATACAGCATGTAAACACCTTGATGACTTTTTGGTCGCTCGAAGCGCTCCGATCACCTCAATCGAATAAATTTATTAATATACTTATCCACGCACCTTTGCCGTAAATTAACTATGTACATCAAACAATTCTAAATGCATATTTCTATCGTGCAATAACATCGTATGTGCATGTGCCTGCTTGTATAATTATTATATGATACTTTACGTGTTTTCATGCAACTTCATTTTCGACTGATTGTGCTATTTGTTTATCAAATCATGATTCTTCCACGCGATTGAATGTGGTTAAAAATCCTCGCACTTGAGATTGTAAAAATTAAGTAAAAAAATATGTACGTACATATATTTATGTATAGGTAAAATAATACTGCAAATTTTTATGAATTAATAAAGAGTAATTTTAAAATTACAGATTTCATCGATACAAATGCTCACGGTACTTGTGGAGGGAAAAACATTTTAGTAATCGAATGTGGATACCCATTTTTTTATCACCATTTTGTAAAAAAAAATTAAACTATAAAAAATCATTATAGTATAAAATGGGATTACGTTTTTTGCCAAGTCCAGATTAATGGTCATTATTGAGAGGATAATACGATTAATATGAGACACGTTTAACAATTATTAGGCCTTATGTTTATTTGGTGCCACTTATATACGTGTGTCTTGATACAACGAATGCACAAATAAGTATTTTTCAAGTTTATTTTTATATGCCAAGTACTTGAATATTAATTAACGCCTGTCTTACGTTAATACGTATTTGATAAAGAATTTTTTCCAAATTGCTCACTCAGTAACACTGGCACGGTTCATGCACGTACAAATTTTAAAAAATAGAAGCAAACGGTGGTAAGACTCGTTATCAAAAATGCTACTGCTGTCTTGATCATAAACTTTGAGATTTTTTAATCTTCATCAAGTGATTTAGACACACATCAGAGCACAAATGGATTTTTAATTACCCTTAAACTAGACAGTCATTTTGTATTGGCGTGTTTAGGATCATCTAAACATAATAAATATACACTTGCTTCCCTAGCGTTGCAGTATCACATGAAATTATTTCCATTTGTTTACATTAGGGATTTTTTTGTCATGTTTCTTCGTTATTTATTTTCATGTTTCACCCTCATAAATACTTGGCAATATAAATGCCGAACTATGTAAGAACGCGACGTCATCTAACATAGACATTCAAGAAAAGTAATGTATACGTAACGTAATCAGATAAAATTTTTATATTTATTCCAATAATGGCAGCAACTAATCAGATTTATGATTATCAACAGCAATATTTTCAACTAATACTTCATATTTAAAAAAAATTTGTTTTCTCAAATTTACGCTCCCATCCCAAATGCCAAAGCTCGTGCATTTTTTATATTCACACGTGTATGGATATCTACAGTCTAATTGAGCCTCTAATGCAGCGAAAGGGACTGTAAGAGCCACTACTGCATCGTAGGTTTTATTAATAATGTTATACAGTAGGCAGTTGTAACGCTAAGAAAATTAGAGTTTACTTGGACTATTCGATTATTTAATTTGATATTTGTGTCGAGTTTGCACACCAAAATTTGAGAATAGAGTTACAATTACGTCGGAAAAAAATCTTTCTGACCAAAAATTTTCTGATGAAGTATATCAACTGTAGATATACACTTGACAAAAAAAAAAAAAGAAAAAAAATTTACTTCTTTTTGTTAAATTTGTTTTTTCATGTTACGTACATTACTTTTTTGAAGATCTGCTTTTTAATAACGTTGCAGGCCAGTAGTTGTATCGCCAACACGAGTACACGTAGCTGGAGGGGCTATAATACTGGCTTTGGACGTCCGACTTGTACTACAATGAGATTATAAATAATGTTCAACGAAAATTTTTCAAAAGCTTATAGTTGTACTTTCAAACAATATTATCTCACAACTGGAATAATGATTTTTATTACTGTAAAAATATGTTTATCTAACGAAAAGCCAATAACAAACTTTGGATTAAATTATTTATACGTTTTATTGATACAATTCGATTGTTATACTGTTGTAAGTTTGTAGGACAGTTGTCGTGTCGGCTAAGAAAAATTTTGGCCGATTCTTCTAAACTTTTTAGTACAAAATGCTTTGAGAATCGCCCTCCCCCCCCCCCCAAGATCCACCGTTTTCTACATGCAAAAGTGTATCATTCAAAAGTAAATGCATCGGCAGGTAAGTGCCACTGTATTATCGGCTATATTGATATAAACATTTTCTACAGCTTGTGCCATAAACTTGCGAGACCTACGACTTTCTGACAAGTATTATAATATATTTATTTTTAATGAAAATATGCCATTACATCAAGTCAAATTAAATTTTCATTCTATAAAAAATACTTTGCTTGGATTGAGTTCTTCATCTTGAGTAAAAAAAATTTGTATAAAAATGTAAATGGTTACATAATTTAGCAAACGTGTTTCAAATCATGAAATAACACGTATCCATGAATTTGAGAATCATTAAGAAGACTGTATATACGACTGTAATCCAAATATTAATGTTAAGCGCCATACGACATTGAATGAGATTCATCAGGGCCATGGCACGTATATGTATTTCACAATTATTAATACGCGATTTTTCATTTTCTTATTTCACGCGACCTTTATATTTGTCGTAAACAATTTACTTTCATTTATTTCAAGCACAAGACCTCGTAGGTAAATTTTAGTAGTATTTTGATGCCTTTCGAATTTACTTTACTTGAAAAACCAAATTATACATGTATACATATTTTTCTATAAAAAGTTAATTTCATACGAGTAGGTAAGACACTTTGCAACAGACACACTTCTTAGTTTACATCCAAACATTCCTTATAGTATCGATTATGATAAAAATTATTTTTTATACATTATTATAATTTTTTTTAGATAACGTTCATAAAAAATACATATTGATGTGCAACTGTGTGAGTATTGAAACAGCTCAACGTGATTAGTATTTGTAACTTGAGTAAAATTAATTTTCAAAGAGTGGCTTGTCTTGATACATACTAGTGGGGCTCACGCCCCCCTCCGTGCTCCGCGCGCCAACCTCCCACTAACAGATTGAGTAGACAAAATAATGACATACACAATACTCGTGTATTTATCAATGCAGGCTGAAAATTAGTTCACAACAGCAGAATACGTGACTCACAAAGAAGTTGATAATGGTAGTTTTCCTACGAGTTTGAAAAGTCTCTGTGTGCGAACCGAGATGTTTGCGGCCCGAGCCGAAGGCGAGAGACGTAACGAGGTTCGTAAAGGAGACTTTTCGNGAAGGGGGAAGCCTTTTTGCGGTTGAGTGACAGTCGATAGTTGTTGGTGTGTATGCACACACACACACACACCATATATATATATATATATATATATATATCAGCGCAACAGTGGTCGTCAGTGTCACGTACACAATTATAACAGTTGGATGCTTCCGATAAATGATAGCAGGAATTCAATCGCCCAATAGAGAACGGATTGCGATCTTGATGCTGCTGCAACTGCTAAAAAGCTTTCGTGCGCGCCTCGCTGACAGCGATAGCCAGGGTACGAACGGAGCACGTGGGTGTATATGTAAAAGCAATCCCAGTTGTGTTTTAAGTGCACCGTGTAGGTATACGATTGCGTCAATTTGACAGCGAGCAAAAATCTTTGAAGCCGCGTCACCCGGCGTCACCTGTAGGTATACGGAGAAGTAATAACGGTGAATTTCACGCGCATTAGGCGTTTTTCCATGCACCTTTGGACGAGAGGATGATGGATAAAAAAAACACACATACATATATATATATTCATCGGCAGGACTCTTACATTTTACGAAGTCTAAACACTGGTGAATTAGGGTTTACAAAATTTGTTAGTGCTTTTTACGTATTTTCTTTTTATAAAAAACCATCCCTATCGTTGGTTCGCGCAGGAAGCTCGAGACTAAAAATGTGGACATTATTTGGTTAAAAATCTAACCATATTGCAAGTAAGGGTCTCGATAAATTTTTGACATTAGTTGATACGTAATCTCATTCAACGAGGTAAAAATGAAAAAATTACACCGACCCTTCCTCAACGCGAGTCAATGCTGTAAATATTATGGCATCAGCAGCTCAAAGGGAACTTATTGAGATATTTATTTTTCGGTGACAAATGATTAGATGTCATTTGGTAGTAAAGATGCATATTTGTCGTTTGAACAATGGTTAATGTTTACTATAGAGCACCAGACAGTAAAGGAGGAATGATGCCCTAGTAGGGGGGAAGCACGTCAGGCTGTCGGATCCCCAGTTGGGATATACTGTAAAATTTTTATCGATCGGTCGGTTGGTACGGCAAAGGTGACGGCTGCGCGTTTACCCTCGCACTTTCAAGCGATAGAGACGTATTTCACAAATTACAGGCGTTGTAGAAATAATAGTCAACAATTAAAGTATGGTTGTACTAACTTGGCGAAAATGGACGATGGACTTGCAAAGTTTCTGGAAGCTGGACGGGCTGAGCTTTTTGGTGTGCTTAACTGTTGTGCTGTCACTGTGCCGCGGCCATGTTGGTAAATTCGAACTGCAACGCCACCACTGGGCTGACTTGGAAGGCTCCCCAAAGCTCTTGTTAATGCTCTCCTCTCTCTCTCTCTCTCTCTCACGTAGTCCTTTGCTCCCTTGGCAGCCACTGAGACAATGTGTATATGTGTATCTATACATATACATAACTAGCCGGTATCTATTGCGATGATATGATTTGGCAAGGACAAAAGTACTCGTTGCTCGGAAAAATTATTCAAAACCGGTTATGTCTGACTACACGTTTACCTTAATCACTTGTTTATATTCACTATTGGGACTTGAAAATGTTACTTTTAATATATTTATAACATAATTGTTTATCTTTGACAAAAATTGATATCGAATCGTTGAGTTTTTCAAAAATCTTTACCTCTAACGATAAATTTATGTTGCCAACACTCCGACTCATTTTCTCGTTCATCCACCTATACTTTTAATATTTTTACGAATGTTAATGAAAGATAGAAACACCTTTGTGTAAATACATTGTACTGATTATATAAATTTGCCGTGTTTTGGACATAAAAATATGTACATGGAGGTCAAAAAGCATTGCAAATATTTATTTTCTAATTGTTGGCTAAACGTTGGCAACATTTATAATTATGCCTTTGACGTTTATAAAGAACTGCAACGAGCAGTTAAGATAATTATTTGGAGGCCAAGGTGTTTGAGATGATGTACATATTATCTAAACAAAGACCCTTTGTATTTGACGCATATATTATTTGTGTAGTGATATTTGATTCCTCCGCCCCTTAAATTGCCAATTCAAACGAAAAGAGTCAAAATACAGAACTCTTCTTAACCTCAAAATTATCCTCCAGTGCAACGCGCGTGTGGTAAAAAAAATTCTCGTATTTACTTCAACTGAGATGCACTGGAGGGAGAGGAACGAAAGACAAGGTGTTGCTCATGCATGCGTGTCACGGCGCTAAAGAGCCCCTTTTAGAGCAACAGGCAGGTCGAGCCGTGCATTATTTCGGAAACAAACATGGGCGTGCTGGCACTTAGGCCTCCATCCGACTGTTCCTGGTAGGTATCGTAGTCTTGGTACTTTTCATAGCTGCACTCAAAGTAGCGGCTCTGCAGAAAGTATATATATAAGTACTGTTTCAGTATCGCATAGCACCCAAAATCGTCGCAAGTACTCGTACCTGACAGTCAAGGCAGCGGCAGGTGTCGCTCATCTTACACGTGATGCCCCACTGCTTGGCCATAGCCTTGTAAAACTCCTTGCTCGACTTGTAGGGCATTATCTCTGCTGCTGTGTTCTTCGAGCGACCTTTCCCCGTTGGTTGTTTTTGTGTCTGCTGTTGCTTTTTCTTTGCCATTTTCCCGTCGTCCGTGCTCTCCCCTATCGCCTCCTCGTCATCATCCAATGAGGCTGTTTTCGTCTGTGACAATTAATTTTTTCTAATAAGCCTCTGTACAGCGGCTAAAGTAGAGGTTTTTTTTTTATTCTAAAACTTTCTGCTAGCAACACTTTGAATTTCATCAAGTTTATTCATTCACCAGTGATTGCGGGTTTTCCGAGATATCACTTTTATTTGCAACGAGTTACAGGCAAGATAAAAGCTGTTTCAAAAAGTGGAGCAAAAATGTAGACAATTTTTTAAAAGAAAAGAAAATTACTTTGCGCAACTGTGAAAAATATTTGTAAATATTTAAATAGGATCAATAACAAAATCAACCGTTTTAGCCTGTAAAAATTAGTTTCGTCTGGTAACGGAGAAATGGTTAACAATTTAGTAAACCATATACATACATATAAATATATATAATAGCTTAATAAGCTTAAACTCAAAGATTTTTTTTTTTCCTCGTAGCAACACCATGAGTTAATATTTATTACGAAAATAATGTGACAGAGAAAAAAAATTGACAAGTACTTCTTCGAGGACGCGCTCGTAAGAGGGTGGAGGTGAAGAGGCTGGCATCGTCGAGTCCGTGTCCACACTGACGACGCTGCCCGCGTCAGCCCCGGTTATCGTGAGCATCCGGGCGCACTCGCCGCTCCCGACGCTCTCGGAGCTTCCGAGGGCCAATTGGCTCATCTCGGACAAGGGCTCCTGATTTTGAGCCACGTCATCCTGGGCCTCGGACAATTCCTGACTCTCGGAGCTCCGCGACTTTGAGCCCTTGAAGAACCGAAGCTTGAACGGTGCCAGCTTGGATGTCTTTTAGCCCTGCGTTATATATGTATATATATCCAACTGCGACACAAAAGACCATCTATTTTTTTTTCCCTCATAGCTATTGAAACATACACACATTGATAAATCATGCTCCACATTGAAACCGTTTATTTGTATTTCAAAACAGTTTTTGAATGATCTTTACAAACTAAAATTGTTTCTACCTCATGTGTACTTTGCGTGTTACAGCTCGAGGCTACTTTCCATCCCTTATGTTTTTATAAATACAACAGGGAGGTATAATATGTACATGTATACCTCGTTAAAATTATCCAAAAAGCTCGAAATACCTACTTATTATATTTTCATTGTTTTAGTACAGTTGTATTGGGATTCCAAAAGGTCATGTGGCTCTCGTGGTATATATGTTACCTTTGAAAGTGCGAAAACGAAAGTTTTAAGCTGCGAAAGACTAATTGAGTTGGAAAAAAATAGTTAAGGTATTGTCATCTCCTCAAAAATATGTTATCGAAAGGCTTTTATCGTATTACAATCGTTGAACGTGTAAAAAAAATAAAAATATAATTGCACCTACAAGACCTGTGTTATTTTTCCCCCAAGTGACTATATATACCGCGAGAGTCACATGATCTTTTGGAATCCCAATAGTTTCGGTCACAAAAATACACAATATTGCGGTCAAGTAATAGTTTGCGTCTGAAAGTTTCTGCTTTTAACTGCCATTGAAAAACTTTTAACGCCGAAAGCGACTATAAAGCCAATGTTATTATTCTTCTCCTGCACTTTAAATACCAATTAAGGGATCAGCATTTTTCATGGCTTTGAACGAAAGAGGGAAAAAAAGGCCAGCTCCCTTTTTTTTTTCTCCGCTTCCTCAATTCATTCCAACTTCGGAACGTATTTAATAACTTGAGCTTTGCTCGATCGGAAAAACTTGCCCCTCGCAAACTCTCCCTCCCCTCTAGAGCTCCTAACAAGAGGGAGAGTCGCGAATGCACGTAGTAATATGTATGTATACAGAGTACGTTGTCATCCTCGTCGTCGCCGTGGAAACAGTGTGGGCTCCCCCACCCCCCAGCCAAAAAAAAATCCCCTCAACCCTTCGATACATGGGTATGGGTTATATATGGGCGACGACCCAGTGACCGAGTTTGTCCGCCGGCGGATATGCTGCCTGTTCAGGCACTGGTATGCGCCAACATTTCTCTGTCCGTCAAAATAAATTGTCTGCTCGGCGAGGGTGTGAGAGGCGTGGAAAAAAATGCAAATGTTGCCCATCCCGCTGGCACCGACAACTCCATTAATTTCTCGATAACTAATACATATAACCAATATTGCGTACCTGCCCATCCGTCTCTCTCTCTCTCTCTCTCTCTCTCTGTT